AAGTCCCTTTCTTTCTTTCCTTCTTTCTTCCTTTTTCTTTCTTTCCTTTCTTTCTCTCTTTCTTTCTTTCTTTCTTTCTTTCTTTCTTTCTTTCTTTCTTTCTTTCTTTCTTTCTTTCTTTTTTTCAAGACAAGGTTTCCCTGTGTAGCCTTGGCTGCCCTGGCCTCGATTTGTGGACCAGGCTGTCCTTGAACTCCTAAGGATCCGCCCTCTGCCTCCCCTCCTGCTGTGATTTCAGGCAGTGCCACCGCCACCGAGCCGGGCTTCAGGTCCTTTTCTTCCCTCCCTTGGTGCTCCATGGAGCCTCAAACTAACAAGATCAAGCTGAAATCTCTCTTGGTTGATGGTGCTTCAATCCCCTCTGCTTGGAGGGGCCACAGTAGACCAGTTTTTCTTTCTCTCCCTAGACTCGGAAGTGCTGTTTCTTATCCCCACACCCCTGACCTGCCTGTGTTCCAAGGCTCGACTTCAAGCAACTGGTGTTAAGCTTCAGCGCCTCATGACTGTCAACCAGGAGTTAAGGATTTTTGTATCCTCACACCTAACTCTGGCTCCCTATTTCCATACCTGCTGTGTTATACAAACTCAAAAAACGGCCTTTCGATCCAAAATACAAACAGGCTGTTGTAAAGTTCCGCACTTTGAATGTTGCTCCGCCCTCAGGCTGTTCAAATAGCCAACTGTCCTGGGTTGGTTCCAGATATGTGACCTCACATCCAAAGAGGGCCCCTTCCCTGGCCCAGCTCTACCCTCTCAAGGGTTTCCTGACTCTGACTCCAGCCAGACGAACAGCGAATGGAGGAGCCACGTTCAGTCCTTGTCCTCCGAAGCCTTCTTCCTCGAAGAACCTCTCTCCCTCCTAGATCTCATTATGTCCGGAAATGCCAGTGACTGACAGACCCCGCTCTTCATTGATTGGGCAGAGAAGGGAGAAAGAAAGGCAGAAGCAGGCAGAAAGGGAGGGAGGGGAGAGGGAGAAGGGGAAAGGGAGGGGAGGGAAGAAGGCAGACAGACATAACTGCTGGTTGCCTGTAAAATTATGTCTCTTCACTTCCTAGAGGGCTGTCTGTGTATGTCACCAGGCATGCTGAAAATGAGCTTGCATATCTCCTCCCTCATCTTCACCTGTGAGTGTGTGTGTGTGTGTGTGTGTGTGTGTGTGTGTGTGTGTGTTGCTGAAATCCCAGACATGACCTTGTGGGTACAAGGCCAGCTCTGACATATATCCCAGGCCTCGCTCAAGGCTTTTTGAACTAGGAGAAACAAACAAACCAAAATCCCAGGTTTCAAGCTATTTCTAATAGTTAAAAGTTAAATTGTAATTTGCGAACATTCGTAGGAGAGGAAATACTCGGATTTAAAATCACACAGAGAGCCGGGACATGGTGGCACATGCCTGTAATCCTAGCACTTGGGGAGGCAGAGGCAGGCAGATGGCTGTGAGTTCGAGGCCAGCCTGGTCTGCAAACGGAGTCCTAGGACAGCCAGAGCTACCCAGAGAAACCTTGTCTTGAAAAACCAAATAAATAAATAAATAAAATCATGCCGCTCTTAAAGAGGACCCCAGTTCAGTATCCACATAGTGGCTTACAACTTCCCAGAACTTCAGTCCCAGGGATCCTGACATCCTCTTCTGACCACCACATGCATCAGGCAAGCACAGACATATATGCTAGAAAAAAAAAAAAAAAACACTCATACCAAGAGAACTTTTTGTTTTTGAGACAAGGTCTCTTATGTAGTTCCAGATGTCCTGGAACTCAATATGTAGACCAGGCTTCAAGCTCAAAAGAGATTGCTGGGGGTTGGTCTGGTGCTGCTGTTTATTCAAATGCTAAACACTGGCCCCCAAGATCTGGCTGCTGTCCAGAGGAGCACATTCTCACATACAAGTGATGTTGTGTAACTTTACTCCCTTATTATCAATGATTGGCTAGTAAAGAAAGGCTGGGGCCTGTAGCTGGACAGAATAGAGGTGGGCGGGGCTTTGAGACCCACCTGGGCTGGGGGGTCTCAGGTAGGGACCACGAGGCTGGGAGGAGGGGAAAAGAGGGAGAAGGAAGAAGATGGAGAAAGAGGACATGGCCTGATGGAGCAGATCCAGCCCAGACAGGGCAATTTATTGGCAAGGAACTTGGGGAATGTGGCTGGGAGATAGCCAGACTAGCTTAGAAAATTAGTTGAAATCATAATCGCACCTGCCCAGTTATTGTGCCTAAGCCTTGTTTAAATAAACCAATAGGTCTCTCTCAAATTTTGAAAGGCTCGCTGGGCCACAGAATAGCCCTCTAGCATTCAATAAATATTCTACAGGAAGTCTAGGTAATAGAACATTCATTGAAGTGTGTGTGTGTGTATGGTTTTTCCAGACAGGGTTTCTCTATGTAGCTTTGGCTGTCCCTGGAACCTGCTCTGTAGACCAAGCCGACCTCTAACTCAGAGATCTTCCTGCATCTGCCTCCTTAGTGTGAAGTGGGAGTTTTGGTTTCTTTAAAAACTCAGTCATATTCTATAAATATGTTTTTGTTTTAATCTCAAGTGTGGAATTTTAGTTGGGCTACCCTTGATCTATAGCTGTTAACATCTGGTGCAGGGTGTGTCTCTTGCCAGCCGATAGTGGCCTGCCTCATGCAGCATGGAGAAGGGCATGGTCTAGGACTCTGGGAGGATATAAATTTGAGACCCTAGGAAGAGAAAGTGTGTCCTGTGGTGGTGTATAGCAGTTTGGAGACACTGGAGTTGTAGCAATTTGGAGCAGACAGACAGAAACGCTTCAGGGCAGAGAAGCTTGGAAGAGACTGCTGGCTGTTGAAGGAGATCGGTATGTCCCCCAAAGACCCTATGACCCTAAACAGCCAGGAGAAGTAAAGGGGTCTGTGCCCCTCTCGCCACTAACCTTCTCTCCTACCTGTGGTTGGGGGATTGGTGGAAAGGAAGTAGAAGCATAAATGCCCCAAATAATATAGTTAAGAAAAATGAATGCTACATTAGTGCTAGGATTAAAGGTGTGTAGCACCACCTCCAAAGTAACTTTTGTAATAATCAGATTTTATTTTTCTTTTCTTTGAGTAGTTTGCCTATGTGTGTATGTGCACCATGTGAACACAACACCTACCGAGGCCACAAGAGAGCACTGGATATCCAGGAACTGGAGTTTTACTGATGGACCCAAGTCCTCTTCATAAGCAGTAAATTCTGCCTTTAATCCCAGCACTCTGAGGCAGGGGCAGGTGGATCTCTGTAAGTTCATGGCCAGTCTGGGCTACAGATTGAGTTCCAGGACAGCCAAGGCTACACAGAGAAACCTTGTCTTGAAAACTAAACAGAACAAAAAGAAGCAAGTTCCTTTTTCAGATTTATGTGTGTATGTGTGTCAGTAGGCAAGGTGTGTGAGTACCCTTGGAGGCCTAAAGAGGGCGTTAGATCCCTGGAATGGAACTCTGGAATCATAGTGGGTTTCTGTGGAATAGCAGGATTTGAAAAAATGTTTTTGTTTCTTTCTTTTAGACAGGCTATGTAGCCCAGGTTAACCTCTAATTCACAGAGATCCTCCTGTCTCTGCCTCCCAGAACTGGGATCAAATGCATGTGCCAACAGCTGGCACTTTTAGTCACCGAGCTGGCTCTGCAGCCCTGAGGCACTCTTGGTTGGAATGTCAAACTGCTTTTCTTTAGAGCAAGAAGAAAGGGCAGGATATCCAGAGAAACTTAAAGATTTTTATAGTCCTAGAAATATCAATGAAAAACAAGTTTTCTTATATTCTTTTACTTTTTCTTTGCCAACCTGCCAGAACACCCTATTGATATGTCCCTGTTACTCCTGTTGACACTATTTTGTCCACCTAGTAATGATTCAAATCTAACGAACCTGAGACTCTCCCAATCTTTTTCCGAGTAACCACGGACCCTTTTTCCTCAGGGAACTGGAGAGAATAAACCTTTTCTCTTTGGATCAGGTTCACACGGTACCAATGTGGCTGACAGCCAGAGTAAAGAACGAGGGAGAGTTTTGAGTTTGGATCTCTGTGGGTCAAAGTCTACCTAATACAGATCAAATCCTCTGACCCAAAGGGGAGGGCTCTTCTCTCCAGCTCAGCCAGATTTTGTGCAAGACAATTAGTATGTCAAAATAGCAGTCTCTGGCTGTGGAGTCAGGCCTCTTGGGCTTACGCTTAGCTCCGCCCCTGGGTGATTCTGCTTAATTTAACTCTCCACCCCTTTATTCTTCTAAACTTTAGTCCCTTGACCTACCTACCTGCTTAGAGGTAAGAACCTTTTTTTGATGACGAGCTAGAGAAAAAGGCCTGGAATGTAATTTAGTGGTAGCGCACGTGGTAGGCATGTACGAGGTTGGATCCTGAGCACCAAAACCAAAAACACCGGCAACAAAAGCCAAACAGACCGGAACGAATGCCTTTGCCCAGGCCAGCCCTTCACAGACAGGTCCTGGACTGGTCCAGAAGCTTAAGCCAACACCGGGTCCTAAGGCGCTGAAGTTCCAGCCTGGCCCAGGGGCGCCCTCTGGCGTTCAGGCTGCCAACCCGGTTCCCTTCCCTGCTCGGTCTTTTCCAAGGCTGGACAAGCCCTGAGCTAAGCTGTCGCCTCCTCCCTCCGCGTCACTCGGAGGACCCCGCCCGCGGAGCGTCTCTCCGGAGAGACAGGCCCCCGCATCCCCCCGGTTAAGCGCCCCTCCCGCAGTGTGTTTAAAGGTCCCCGCAGGGATCCGCCCCGCAGGTCGCCCACAGACAGCCCGCCTCCCCACGCGAAGAAGGTGCGGCACACCCTGCCCCCACGCTGCGCCCTGCCGGTCCCTCCTGATTCCGCCCCGCCCTCCCCCCCGCCACCTTCGCAGGAGCCTCTTCCTGTCCCCTGATCCCGGAGCCAGCTTAACGAGGCCTCCCACCGGCCCCCGAGGACCCGCCCTCCCGGGCTGCGCCGCGCGCGCCGCCCCCTCCCACCCCGGTGGGCGGGGCTCCCGCGGGCTGCTCGCCGTGACGTCACTTCCGTCCGGGCCTGGCCGAGGTTCGGCTCCGCGGGCCGAGGGCGGGGGTACGGAGGTGGCAGCTGAAGCAGGAGGCGGTGCGGGAGGCGAGAAGCGCCCGCGCGGACCAATCCCTGCGTCCCGGGCCGCGACCCTGTTCCTGCAGCGCTCCGAGAAGAGGCCGGCCGGATGGGCCGCTGAGCCCGAGTCGGGGACCGGTGAGGCTCGGGCGGCGCGGCCCGCGCGGCTGCAGAGCTGCGAGCCCGGGAGCTGGACCTCCCTCTCCGGCTCGCCCGGCGGGAGGCACGGGCTGGGGCAGCGGCGGACCGGCTCGGTGGGCAGTGAGGCCCGCCCGGGGAGGCCTGGCAGCGGCCGGTGCCAGCAGAAGGCGGAGTAGTTGGGGTCATTGACGGGGTGGCGGGCCGCCGTTCGGGATTCTCTCGAGCCTGGCGTCGGAGGAGGAGCTGACCGAGGCTCCGGGAAGAGGATGGCGGGCGGGGCTGGAGGGGCAGTAGTAAGAGGCTTGGAAAAAATTCCATGACCCGTGAGATGGGCTTGGAGAGCTACCCGTTCTCAGGGCTGAAAGGTTATAGGGCCCATCCGCCGAAGGGTCTCCCTGGAGTTCGGTGGGGTCAGTGACAGTGTGTACAACAGACAGCTTTAACAGCAGCTACCCCGAGCCGGTGTGCAGAAGCCTGGCCTCCTGCACGGAACTCAACCTCCGTATCTTCACAGTGTGGAGCCCCCTGGAGCTGAGATCAGGATGTTCCGCTTCATGAGGGACGTGGAGCCCGAGGATCCCATGTTCCTGATGTGAGAATTCCCTCCCCCCTGTGCTGAGCACTCATTCCACTCTGATTCAGGTCTGCGCGGTTCAGACAGACCTCTGGGTCCCCGTGCGTGGAACTGGTTAAGATGACCTGGATACTCGGCTGCAGCTCCCAGTTTGATGGACACCGGCCTCTGTGCCGCTGTGTGCCCTGACTTACTTGGGGGAGGTGGGGGCGGCTGGGGTTTGATCTGCCGTCTGTGCTGTGTGCTCACTCCACAGGGACCCCTTTGCAATTCACCGCCAGCACATGAGCCGCATGTTGTCGGGCGGCTTTGGATATAGCCCCTTCCTTAGCATCACAGATGGTAACATGCCAGCAACCAGGCCTGCCAGCCGCAGGATGCAGGTAACAGTTGGAACAAACCTGAGTCCCAGGGTGGTTAGTAAAGCCTGTTGTTGTTCTTGCCCTACAACCAGCTTAACAAGGAAGTGATCTAGGTGGGAGGCTGAGGAGTGGGTCCAGGAGTCGGGGGAAGGGGTTTCCTGACTCCTTTAGAGAGAAGGATGGAGGGCACCATTTGGTATTGTAAGGCGGTAGAATGTTCTTCTAACTTCTGTTCCTTGTCACTAGGCTGGGGCTGTCTCTCCTTTCGGGATGTTGGGAATGGTGAGTCCTTATCTTCCTGTGCCCCTGTATCTCAGACACACAGGCTGTAATCTTAGATGTTATTTCCAAATGTTCCACTTTGGGCTAGTCTCAGGGGTGGTCTCAAAATCGTCTCTTTGGCTATTTGACACAGTTCAGAGCCCGTTGGGTATAACTCCTGGAGCTAGGGCTAGAGAGTTGGCTCCACAGTTAAGAGCACCTGGCTGTTCCTCCAGACAGTCAGGGTTCGATTCTCAGCACCCACATGGCAACTCACAACTGTCTGTGTCTCCAGTCCCCAGGCATCCGAAGCCATGTCCTCCACCATGCATTGTATGCACGTGGTGCCCAGACGCGTGCAGGCAAAACACCCGTACACTTAAAAATAAGAAATAGAATGTTGAAAAAAAGAAAGAGAAAGAATCCTGAAGGTAGATACTGCTGATGCCGGGAAGTTCTTATCCACTGGGGAAAATCCGGCTGTATAGCAGTTTTCTTGAGGAGGGAGGTGCATCTTAAGGGCCAGGGAAATAGAGCTTGGCACCCCTTCACAATTTTTAATGTTCCGAGGGTTTTTTGTTCTCTTTGTTTTGTTTTGTTTTGTTTTTTGAGACAAGGCTTCTGTGTAGTCCTGGAACTCTCTCTCTGTTGTAGACCAGGCTGGCCTTGAACTCAGAGATCCACCTGCCTCTGCGTCTCAATGCTAGGATCTAAGGTGTGTGCTGCCACCACTGCCCAGCATGTTCAAAGGTTTTAATTCATTGACTTTGGTTCACTCCCCCAAAGATCGGGAAACACAGCAGGAAAAAGATCAGCCCGAGCCCGAGGAGGCAGCAGCAGTTTATGGAGGAGGAGCTGGAGTGCTCTGGCTAGATGTACAGAAGAGAGGGGGGTTCTGTAGCCGGTGGGCAGTAGACCCAAAACTGTATCGGGTGTCTCGTTGGTTTCCTGACTCTCTTCTCTCCTCAGTCTGGTGGCTTCATGGACATGTTTGGAATGATGAATGACATGATTGGGAACATGGTACGACCCTTGCTTCACATTCTTCCCTGGCCTTGTTCTCAGTGGCTGCCCGCATGGCAGGAGGGGAGAAGTATGCTCGTGACGGGGCTGGGTTGGATGAAGTGCTTGAGCCAGAGCACTGGGGTCTCGTGTCTGCCCTCATACCTGTATGTGATGAAGTAGGTTTAGTGTTGGGCTGGGAGGACGTGGGGCAATTGTGACATTCTCCCCAATCTCACATTTTAAGAGTGACTAGGCAGGAGCAAGCAGCTGTAGGGAGCTCCCTTCTGCAAAGTGGACCCTCCTCGTTCAGACTGCGTCCCCCCTTTCCTTCTCAGGAGCACATGGCTGCCGGAGGCAACTGCCAGACCTTTTCTTCCTCCACTGTCATCTCCTACTCCAACACTGGGGATGGGGCCCCCAAGGTTTACCAGGAGACATCTGAGATGCGCTCTGCCCCAGGTGGGGTGAGTAAGGAACTCCCCTGTCTCTGAAGACAGCCACAGAAACCCTGACATCTGTCTTCAGGAATGGGTTCATGGGGGCTGTGTTTATCCTGGGGTGAGGTAGCCAGGGACTTGGGAGGAGAATTGAATGTGCCATGTTCACCTCATCCCAGATCCGGGAGACCCGGAGGACTGTCCGGGACTCAGACAGTGGTCTAGAGCAGATGTCCATTGGGCATCACATTCGGGACAGGGCTCACATCCTCCAGCGCTCCCGAAACCACCGCACGGGAGACCAGGAGGAACGGCAGGACTATATCAACCTGGATGAAAGTGAGTCTTCCGTTCTTCCGAGCAACAGCCCCTCTTCTCATTCCTGGACTAGATGGTAGCTTTTGCTCCCATCACACAGGTATCTCCCAGGCAGAGTTGTGGGTGAGCCCAATGCTTAGGTTTGGTTGCCAGCTTCAGGGCTGAGTCAGGTGTCGCCAGGGAGGGCGACAGATCCTGTGACTGAAGTCAAGTGTTGATGGTGTTAAACCCTTTCGTATCTGCATCACTGGTTTTTCTTTTCCTGCCCCTTCATCTTTTTCAGTTTAGCAGCTTTATTAAACTCCCAACAGGCATGTAACTCCTGGTATATCCAGGAACTTCGTTGAAGCCAAAATGGCATCCTACCCACATTCTCACACGTATGACCACAACCTGTGCCCCGGTTTCTGATGTTGACAGGCTGTGTGGCTCATGGCTCCTTCATGTCTATGCTCTGTTTCTTTCTTAGGTGAAGCGGCAGCGTTTGATGATGAATGGCGAAGGGAGACATCACGATTCAGGCAGCAGCGTCCTCTGGAGTTTCGACGGCACGAGGCATCTGTGGGTGGGGGTCGAAGGGCCGAGGGGCCTCCCCGTCTGGCTATCCAGGGACCTGAGGACTCCCCTTCCCGACAGTCCCGTCGCTATGACTGGTGAAGGCCCTGGTTCTCAGCCTCTCTTGTAAGTGCCTGAGAGGGAGGAATGGAAAGATGACAGCCCAGAGGAGGCTGGGCAGCAGCAAACCTGTGTGCCTCTGGGTTCCTGGCTGGGCATGCCTTTGGTGGTGTAGCTCTCGCTGAGAGGCTGGAGGACATCCCCAGACCCCCCCGGGCTTCTGTGTCCGTCTCCTCTGACATGTTCATCTTTTTCTTCCTCCAGGTACAGGCTGAGAGGCTGTGAAATCATCCCTTGAAATAACTTTGTCCTTTCCGACCTCCATCCCAATTTAATATTAAATTAACAGGCAAGTTGGCCCCCACCTCTCCCTGGGGGTCTCAGGGAGAACCTTTTACTGCCCCCTTTACCTACTTTCTCCATCTTTTATCCCCTCACCACGATGACCCCACCCATCTTCTATCCACTAACTTGAGTTTTCATTTTGCTGCTCCATCTTCAGGCCACCTCATCTTCCCCTAAACCCCTGCCATGCATTGAAGTTTTGGGGGGATGAGCTCTGGGTTTAGGGATCTCCATCCCTCAGCTCCCCTGGACCCTTGCCCATCTCTTCCTCAGAGCGCCACTGCAGATGCCATGGTCCTATCAGGGCTGTGGAGGGAGTGGACTAGTTCCCAACCCTTCTCCCACCTCCCCACATCACACTCACACACAAAAACACTTTCCTATACCCTTCTCTGCCTTTATAAAAATAAATGATTTGTGCAACTTGTAACTAGGTGTTTATGGAATAAAGGATGATGGAAAAAAAAGTAAGATTCTGCCTGTACTTTTCATCTTTTCCCTAAGTTTAGCCCTCTACATCCTAGTCAGTTCCTTCCCTTCCCTTTTGGCTCCACATGTGGTCCAGCTGTTACTGGGTAAGGAGGGTTACTACTGCTATGATGAAACACCATGACCAAGGCAGCATATAAAGAAAAGCATTTAACTGGGGATATGCTTATGGTTGCAAAGGGTGAGTCCATGACCAAGGCCTGGAACAGGGCGGCAGGCAAGCAGGCAGGCATGATCTATAGTGATATTTGCGAGCTTACACTTGATCCACAAGCAGGACACTGGGAGAGACCGGGAATGGCTTGGGCTTTTGAAATCTCAAACCCAGTGACACCTCCTAGTCTTTCCTAAACACAACTGGGAACCAAACATTCATATATATGAGCCTGTAGGGACCCCACAAACCCACCATCCCAGTTCCTCATTGATGGTGAGGATGGAGCTGTTAAAGCGCAGGGCTGGGCTAGGATGAAAGGCAATAGCTGACTTGGCTGCTCTCCTCCTTGCACCGACTGTAATTCATTCCAGGGTCATATTAGCTTGTAGGATGGCCTCTGAAAGCGGCCACCCTGTCCTTTGGGCAGAGTTGTTTCCCAGGGCTGGGCAGACAGGCACAGGTAGGCCTACATAAGCCTTCAAGAGGGCAGGAGCAGGGGTCAGTATCCCTCGAATACTCCTCACCCCCCAGTTGCTGAGAACTTGAGCCAGGGAGGAGAGAGCTGGAACCCGAGCAGTCTGGAGGACAGGAAGCTCACATTTCTCAGCATGGTCAACTCTTGCTTTGCAGCCAACTGGGTCACTGCATCCCTTCTGCGTGCTAGGCGAGCACTCTGCCGCTGAGCTATGTCCCCAAGCCAGCTTTCCTTCTTTTCCCCCTCCTGCACAGGGTCTCATGTATTCCTGATCCTCCTGATCCACTTAAGTGCTAGCACATCTAGAAGCGTTTCAGGTTTCCCCTGCTCAGTTACCTGGTGATAAAGGTCAAAATATCAGGTCAGGCATGGTGGTGGTGAATGTCTTTATTCCTGGCATCTGGAGGCAGAGACAGGTGGATCTCTACAGTTGAAGCCAGCCAGAGCTACATGGCGAGAACCCTGTCTCAGAAACCAAAACAAACAAAAAAAAAAAAAAGTTAAAGGATCCATAAGGTTCTGGGCCCTCTCCGGGGAAGAAAGGATTTCCTATGAGTGATAGACAAATGAATTCCAACAAATAAAGGGATTGCCTGTTTGGCCAACAAGCATAGAGGTAAAATTGAACCCAGCAGTCACTGGTTAGAGGGTTGGTACAGACAGACATCCTGCAGGGCAGCAGTCCCCAGCCTTCGAAGCTGATAGGTTGAAAGTCTGACATGGGTGGGTAGGCCTATTTCCTGAGCGTCAGGGTTCTCTGTCATCAGTCTCCTGAGGAGGCAGCCAGCGCTGAACACCAGAAACTTGATCCCTAGGCCAGTCCTTCTCTAGTTTGGTCCTGGGCAAGTTTCTCACTCACCTGGGCCTCAATTATGTAGTTATATTCCAACCGCCAGCAATCCTAGAATGTATTTCATGCCTGGCTTCCCTCTGCACTCCAGTGCTGGTCCCCACATGCCAGTGCTGTTCTTTGGAGTCTTGTTTGTTTTGTGGGATGGGCTCTCATATAGCTCAGCCTGGCCTTGAACTCAGGGTGTAGCTGAAGATAACCTTGAACTCATGAATCCTGAACTGAGCCTCCCAGGTGCTAGGATTACAGGCTTGTACTACCACAAACCAGCTTTCCAGTGTAGTTAGGGATGGATTAGAGCAGGGCAGTGCCCTGGCTTCAATCTGGAAGGCCACGACCAATGCTTCACAGTTTGGGTCTAGGTTTTCATGTACATAAATGAATCATTTTGTTTGTTTCTGTAGTGCTGAGGATGACACCTGGGGCTTTCTCACGTTTGCTAGGTAAGTGTCCCAGGGAAACTACTTTTCCCCTGGGTTGGTCATGATCACCTTGCTTCAGCATGGGTCATGTGATTGTTGTGCTTAGCAGAGACATGTAGGACACACAGTGACAGCGGGAGACTTAGTCACAGAAGAGCTACCCATTCTCAGTCACTCCTCTGGCCCCCAACACCTCACTGAGATCACAGTGAGGGAGAGCTAGGAAGCAAATAGAAAAGTGGCAGCACAGGCCTTTAATCCCAGCACTGGGGAGGCAGAGGCAGGTGGGTCTCTGTGAATTTGAGGCCAGCCTGGTCTATAGAATGAGTTCCAGCATAAACAGAACTGTTGGCATTTGTTTTGTAAAACAACAAACGTTTTATTTATGTTTCTCGTATCTTTTTCTCCCTACTCCACCCCTACCCCAACACTAGGTAGGAGAGAGAAAGGGATAGTGGGAGAGGGGGCATAGTTCTTTCTTAGCTGCTTCCTGCTGGTTAGGGTCATTGGGTTCCTTGGAGCCAGTCCAATCCTCATTTCAAGAGATCTCCAACTTCTTGTCTAACAACAGAGACCAGGAGCAGCAAGGGAGAAGCAGTAGCAGCCTTGTTCTTTCTTGGATCTCTCTGGGCTCTGGCATTTATTCTCTCTCTAGAGTCCTCAGATTTAAACTATCTGCAGGGGGCAAAGAACTCCTTTCAGAGACTGCACGAAACAAATAGTCTGCTGCTATGGACCATCTGAATCAGTCCCACATCCCACACCTGGGACCAAAACAAAAACATGTTTATATCCACAACACAGAACTATGCAAAAAGGTCTCTCTCTCTCTCTCTCTCTCTTTCTCTCCTCTCTCTCTATTTCTCTTTCCCCCAATTTCTCTCTCCTCTCTCCTCTCTCTCTCTCTCTGCCTTCCTAGTGCTAGTATCAAAGGCATGAGCCACCATAGCTAGCTAAGAGGCCCTTTCTCAAAAAAACAAACAAACAAAAAAATGGACAATTACTCTTAGAAATGATGGCATTTTACTTTGGCCAGCTCTCCGTCTGGACTCAGCTCCCTCTGCCATAGCTCTCCAGTCAGACACTGGGTAGATATCCTCAGGTCTGGCCCCACCCAGAAAAGTATAGGTCAGAAGAGGCAGGTCCTGGTTCTGAGACCAAGCAGGACAATGCAGGTCAGTAAGGGCAAAACCTAGCCTTGCTCCGCTGCTTAGGGGCAGCAACTCACAGAGGGCTCTTTAGCTTTCAGCTAGTTCCCTGCCCCATATGGGCTTTTCTAGACACTGGAGGCATGGATTCATGGAGTCCACACCTCAGAATTGTAAGAGTGGGGTGGAGAGGACACAGGATACAAACCAGTGTTCTGCTTCCGGTGTTTCTATTACTCTTTAGTGGCCTCGGGTTCTCTTTCAGCCCCCACTCTCATCTTCAGACATAAACTGGAAATCATCCTCTTGGCCTGGGCTTAGCCCCTCAGCTTCCATTCCTCAGCTGTGAACTGTTGTCTTTGGCTTCCCCCATTTTTCAGCACCCCCTGCAATGCTGCGATGATGAGTGGAAAAAAAGTGGTTTGGCTCTGCTCTTGGGCGGTTTAGGTCTTTTTGTCTCTCCTATTGTAATGGCCCCAGGTTTGGTACCTTTCTCTATCTTCCTGTGTTCAGGTCCCATAGAGAATGTTGCCTGGAGAATCAGGAACTGAACTGCAGTAAGATCAAGTAATGCCAGGCATGGTGACATACACCTACAATCCCAGCTCCTTCACCTGGGAGGCTGGGGAGAAGAACTGTGAACTTAAGACCAGTCTAGGCTACTACAAGAGTTGGAGGCCAGCCCAGGCTATATAATGTCTCAAAACAAACTCACCTAAACTAAATTAAGTCCAGCAGTCTGCCCTGCTAGTTCAGATGCTATCTATCTATCTATCTATCTATCTATCTATCTATCTATCTATCTATCTTTGAGACAGGACTTTTCTATGTAGTCCTGGCTGTTCTGGAACTCACTATGTAGACCAGGCTGTCCTCGAATTCACAGAGATCTGCCTGCCCCTGCCTCCTGAGTGCTGGGATTAAAGGCATGTGCCACCATGCCCAGTTCATTCACACACACACACACAAACACAAATATTTTTGAGACAGGGTTTCTCTGTGTAGCCTTGGCTGTCCTGGACTCACTTTGTAGACCAGGCTGGTCTCGGACTCACAGAGAAAATGCAGGTTCGGTGCCATCATCTTCAGCGACAGCAGTGGCAGCCGACTAAGTGACTGAGAGGGTTGGAGTGAAGAGAGGAGAGGAAAGTGTTATGGGGCTGGGGTTGGGGCTCTAAAAGACAAGGAGAAATAGTATGGAGGTCAAGGTGACAAGGAAGTGGGAAATAGTTGGTGGAAGAAAGCAAAGCTTTGCTTCTTAGTGAATTTAGACGAAGAATGTTGGGCCTAGGGGTATATCCCATATTTATATATATCCTGAATTTGTGATAGGGACAAATATTAATTTACAGAGAATGTAGTAGGAAGGGACAAAGTGATGACAGGTATAGAGGAAACTTAATTTATGGTATGTGTATCAATTTCAGAATTGAACAGCTGTAGTCCCAGCTACTCCAGAAGCAGAAGCAGAAAAATCAAAAGATCAAAATCAAAAAATCAAAATCAAAAGCTCCAGGCCTGGGGGCTGGAAAGCTTGCTCAGGAGTTAAGAGCGCTTGCTGCTCTTTCAGAGGATCAAAGTTCAGAAGCCATGGCAGAGGAAGTTCAGATGCCAGCACCCACACTGGGTGGCTCACAACTGCTTTGAACTCCAGCTCCAGGGGATCCAGCATCCTCTTCTGGCCTCTTTGGGCACACACACACACACACACACACACACACACACACACACACACACGATAAAGGATTGTTTTGAGTTTTTTGTTATTGTTGTTTATTTGTTTTTGTTGTGTTTGTTTTTGGAGACAGTTTCTCTGTGTAGCCCTGGCTCTGTGTAGTCCTGGAACTGTGTAGGCCAGGCTGGCCTCGAACTCAGAGATCTGCCTGCCTCTGTCTCCGGAGTGCTGGGACTAAAGGCATGCATCATCATC